TGCCGCCCCCTGGTGGTCAGCGCACGTCATAGTGAGCCTTCAAACTCCCAGTTGAACTCTCAAGGGGACAATTTGCATATTAGGCTTTTATTATATAGGATAGCATGGTTCTCAGTGAGGTCTGGATTCCTATAGGGGCCCCTGAGGCTCTTTCAGGAAGTCCTTGAGGTCAAAAATATCTTAGTAATACTAAGATGCTGTTTGTCCCTTTCACTCTAATTTTCTTGCAAGTCTACCATAGAGTTTTCCAGAGGCTACATGCATGACAAGTGATGTTACAATAGAGTGAACGCAGAAAAGATATGGGCTGCCTTTTATTAAGACAGACATTAAAGAGAATTACCAAGATATAAAACAATGCCACTCTTCTTGCCAATTAAAAATGTTTTAAATAAATTATGTTTAATTAAATATTAAGATATTTAATGACTTACAATATTTAAAATCTTTTCTTAGTTTTAATTTTAATATGATAAATATTATAAATAAACCCCATTAATCAAAGCTCTTTGGAGTTCTAAAAATTTTAAATTCTAAAGGGATTCTGAGACTAAAAAACTTTGAGAACTCTTCTGTATCAGCTACTATAATTAGCAGCCACTATTTCTAGTAGTTGTAATTGAAGGTGAAAGGAAGTAACATTTTTCTCTAGTCTGCTTACCCCATCTGTATGCTCCTTTCTTACATTGCCTGGCGGAGCTGTCTTCTACTGTCTCTTATTTATATTTCAGATGGGAAACCACTTACCTGGAGCTGAATTACAGTAGTGTCACTTTTAATTTAGATTAAAATTTGAAGACATCATGTTTAGTTCTGGAGTCAGCTGAATGCTTCAGTTGCCTGTCTTTCTGATTTTACACAGTTAAAAATGTTCAGGCTCTCTCAGAGCTTGCTTTGTAAAGTCTGTGCACTGGTTGATATAATTTGACTTTAACCTTGGACCATAACAACCCAGGTCTGATACAGAATTTCAGCACAGAACAGATTATAAACATTGTTGGAGGGAGTATGTGGCATGACAATGCTGCTTTTTTTTTTTTTTTCTCTTGCTCTAGTAGCTGTGTTGGGGGAGGTGGTTGCAAGAATGGGTGGTTTTCTTTTAGGCAGCCAGTGATTGTGTTCTGGCATCATTTGTGTCAGGTAGATGCAGATAAAATGGGGCTGAGATTCAAAATGGTTATTTTCCAGAAGAACATCTAAGTGCATTTATTAATTCTTTCAGGCCAGCAAGTCAGCTTTATGTTCTTTTAAAAAAAATTTTTTTTCTAGCTTTATGCTCTGTGATACCAACTAGAGCAGCGGTCTCAACCTGTGGGTCGCGACCCTTTTGGGGGTCGAACGACCCTTTCACAGGGGTCGCCTAAGACCATCGGAAAACACATATATAATTACATATTGTTTTTGTGATTAATCACTATGCTTTAATTATGTTCAATTTGTAACAATGAAATTGGGGGTCACCACAACAAGAGGAACTGTATTAAAGGGTCGTGGCATTAGGAAGGTTGAGAACCACTGAACTAGAGAGTAATGCTTGTTATCTGAAGATTATATTGGTCCTTTGATCTGAATGGCTATTGTTACCAAATTGTTTTTCCCCCCACAGTGCCTTGTGTTGAAGGAGGAGCCTCTGCCATAATGCCAGTTGATGAATACTGGCTGTGTTTACCAGCCTCTCATGTTAGACCTTTTGTACAGACCGTCAGGGTGATGCAGACTTGTCCCCACTGTTGCTGGTTTCCAGGTGTTCTGCCTTGCATCCCTGGGCCATCATGTGTACCTGCTATGCTGCCAAGGGGCAGCCACAGTGCTGCGCCTCCCCCTCCTCCTCCTCTTCCTCCGCCATCACCACCACCTTCCTCTATTGCACCCCCTTCCACATCCCAAGCATCCTGTTCTACTGACCCCAAGCTCAGCCTTTCACCCTCAACATCTGAGGTAGGCAGGAGAAAAATGTAAAGTCTAGGCTGGTAAGTTTGGGGGCTTTTTTTGTATTAAGGTTAAAACTTGATTTTTAAAAAACATTTTTTATTATGCTTATTAACTTTTCCAGTTATTATCACATATTAGCGCAGATTTTTATTTTAATGAATGGTAATATTAAATATATCACCAAAACTGTATTTAAAGCTAATGTGAAATGGTAAATAATGTGTATAAAAACCAGGGGAATGAACTTTTTTAAATTAAAAGTCCAGCCCTGACCAGTTTGGCTCAGTGGCTAGAGCGTCGGCCTGTGGACTAAAGAGTCCCAGGTTCGATTCTGGTCAATGGCATGTACGTTGGTTGCGGGCGCGTCCCCAGTAGGGGGTGTGCAGGAGGCAGCTGATGGATGTTTCTCTCTCATGGATGTTTCTAACTCTCTATCCCTCTCCCTTCCTCTCTGTAAAAAATCAATAAAATATATATATAAAAAAATTAAAAGTCCAACAGTTATATTATAAAGACTGTTATGTGCCAAGTATATGGAATCTAAATACCGAATACAATACAGGAGGCTTCATGTATAGGTAGATTAAATAAATGAGCTTTATAGAGTTGTGTATTTTTATTTCTTTACCCCCCACCCCTCCTTTTTTATTCAAAATGCCCTGCAGAATTAGGGACTTTTCCATTTATGTCAATTGATGATTTATTTCTGAATTTCTAGATTTTATGCCTTACCTAAACAATATAGAAAAGTCTTAAGTATTTGGCTAATCTGTTTCAATGGCTAGTCACCAGGCCACTGTCTTCATCTGAGACCCTAGCCCACACATTATTGTACCTTTGACTTGAAAATAAAGATGATTGACAAATTGTATTGATGATTCTATTAAAAACATACAGTACAAATGTTTAAAAACCCAATTTAAAACCTAGTTTAAAAATTCTGGGATATGCCCTAGCTGGTTTGGCTTAGTGCAGTGGTCGGCAAACTCATTAGTCAACAGAGCCAAATATCAACAGTACAACGATTGAAATTTCTTTTGAGAGCCAAATTTTTTAAACTTAAACTATATAGGTAGGTACATTGTTATTAACTTAATTAGGGTACTCCTAAGGCTTAGGAAGAGCCACACTCAAGGGGCCAAAGAGCCGCATGTGGCTCGAGAGCTGCAGTTTGCCGACCACGGGCTTAGTGGATAGAGCACCAGCCTGTGGACTGAAGGGTCCCAGGTTCGATTCTGGTCAAGGGCACATGCTCAAGTTGTGGGTTCAGTCCCCAGTGGGGGGGCGTGCAGGAGGCAGCCAATTAATGATTCTCATCGTTGATGTTTCTGTCTCTTTCTTTCCCTCCCTGAAATCAATAAAAATATATTTTTTAAAAAAGAACAATCCCGAGTTGCTTCTTCAGTATTAAAAAAAAAAAAGTTCTAGGATAAAAGGACGGATCAAATTTAATTTAGGCCTAAATTGATTTTGTTGGGCCATCAGCACCTTACTTATGTGACACTTAGAGTAGCTATCTGTGATGTGAGAAGATTGAATGTTTCATTTGTGTGCTGTAATATAAATGAAACAACATTTTTTCTTTGAAAAACTCCTTTTGATTTTCTTTAAAGAAAGGTTTTTCACAAAACTCTTCAGACATTGCTGCTTATAAGTTAAATTATTTTCCCTTTCATTGTTTTTGTTCTTTAGGCTTATCAAGAGGGCAGACTTCAAAAGCTACTAAAAATGAATGGCTCTGAGGATCTTCCCGGGACCTACGACTATGATCTCATCATCATTGGAGGAGGCTCAGGAGGACTGGCAGCTGCTAAGGCAAGTCTTTTTATGTGTTATGTGGGTTACAACAGTTCTCCAGATTCTCTGTGGAATTTGAGCCACTTTTGTGACATTTTGCACATTAACTTGGGTAGGACATGTTAAGGGGACCACTTTATAAGTCATTTTTCCAGCTTGAACTAAATGTTCTTTATTTTTTTAAAAATATACTTGTATTGATTTCAGAGTGAGGAAGGGAGAGGGGGAGAGAGAGAGAGATAGAGACAGCAATGATGACAGAGAATCATTGATCGGCTGTCTCCTGCACACACACAGACACACACACACACACCGCCCCCACTGATGATCAAGCCCGCAACACTGGCATGTGCGCTGACCTGGAATTGAATTGTGACCTCCTGGTTCATAGGTCGATGCTCAACTACTGAGCCACGCTGACAGGGCTGAACAATATGTTCTTTACATAAAAGTACTGGACTTAGTATTGTTGGGATGCATTTTTATTCATTTTAAGTTTGGTTGATTTTTCAAAGATAATAAGGGTGTTGTGTGGAAATGGTTTGAAATTAAATATATTTCTTATTCTTAATAAATATTTATTATTTTTCACTTTGATGTTCCTATTCACAACTCCTCCTCCACAATAGAAAGATGGAGAGTGGTTAGATTTCTTAAACTCAGTAAAAATGATTTGCCTCTTGTGTATATACTGTGAGCTAAGAGAAAAACCACTAACACTGGCCTGGGGGTGGCCGGTAGAGGATTTCAAATAAGAGAGGTCGGAGTGAGGCTCCTAGCCCTGAGTTGAGATTCATTTGCCATGTGTGAAGGGGGCCTTGGGACTGTCATTCTTGCTGAAGAGGTTCTTTTAAAAGATGAGGTGCTTATACTCCTTGTAGCTTGTGGTGAATCAGTAAAGGTAGATTCAAAGGAAGCTGCCCAGTATCGGAATAGGCCAATACCTGGTATTAAGCAGTGCTTTGCTATAAATGACTAAGGCCTAGTACTGTGTATATGTATTTTACTGGTGTGATGGTGGTTTTGGAGGACACATAGACTCAGTATTTTCAAATAACCCTTGGAGGTCTAGTTGCCAATACACAAAGCTTATTCTCTGAGAAAGGTAAAGGATGCTCTTCAAAATGAACTTTTGACTGTCATCACTCCCCTAAAATAGATTGGGAAATCTTATAGATATCAACTTTTTCATTGGCTCCTCACATTAGTAAATCTGACAATTTTAAAGGAAAAACTTCTCCAATATTCTGCCTAGAAACAAAACTTAAAAGTACTTTAAAAAAGATTAGAAGATATAGGCTGGATCAAGGGTTATAGATTATCAGTAAGTCTGTTTTACTGGCTACTTAGCACTTGCTTTGAAATGGTCATATGTTTTTCAGGTTATCTCTTAATTTGTTACTGTTTGAGTGGAATTATGTAAGAGGATGCTAAGATTTCCAGCTGATGGACAATTTTATAACTAATTTGTGTGTTCTTAAAGCCACTTAAAGGATTATCTAAATATTGCTTAATTTTTTTCTTGAACTAGCACTAATTTTGGTATATGACATTCCCAGGTATTAATAACTGGTGTTGCTTTAGGCATTGTAGCCTAATAAAATGGGATTTTTTAACATCCCATTTCCAGTCTGTCTGGAAATGGACATGTTAAGATATAGGGGGGAAAGCTGTGTTCCCTTTGTGCTTTGGGGGGTTTGAGCTGTGATCTTGCAGTACATCATCCATTTTTATGAGACTAGCAGTAACCTGGAAGTTGTTTTTATTATTTACATTTTTAATGGATAAAATCACTTTTCTAACTCATTTTAATAATTTTATTTTCTAGGAGGCAGCCAAATATAACAAGAAGGTGATGGTCCTGGATTTTGTCACTCCAACTCCTCTTGGAACTAAATGGGGTAAGTTTTTAAAATATTTTAGAAGTGAATATTTGCAGGAGCAGGTTTTTCCTTAGTATTGGTTTAAATGGCTCCTAAAATCCAATTATAAAATTAAAAATTAAACAAACAACCAGCTCTGGCTGGTGTGGCTCAGTTTGTTGGAGCATCATCCATCCTGTACACCATAAGGTGGAGTGTTCAATTCCTGGTCAGGGCACATACTCAGATTGTGGGTTCAGTCCCTGGTCAGGGTGTGTGGGAGGCAAACAATCCATATTTTTCTTTCACATTGATGTTTCTCTCTCTCCCTTCCTCTCAAATCAATTAAACAAAACAAACCCCAAAACATGTACCTCTTTTACTTATGCTATGTTAAAATGGGACCCAGTTAAATGTTGAAAATTTAGGTTCCTGGAAGTTAAGATCATACAAAACTTTATCCACAACTTTTATGATGATTTAAAGCTAAATTATACCATTTTGTTCATCTCCCCACCTGCCTACATTTTACTCTCATGGAGACAGCTATCACCATGTTTTAAGCTCAAACATGCTAATCTTTTTTTTTTTTTTTTTTCTGAATTCTTTTGTGAGAATCAGCAAAAGCTAAAGACCACACCATCTCTTCTTTAAAACATGCTCATATATTGAGGCCTGCGCAGGTCCCAACCTGACTGTGGTTTGGAGTTGCTATCTGCCTCATAAAGTAAAGTAGAGGATTTGTCTTCTGGGAGGACTAAGTCGTCTTCTCCTTTGAAAAAGCCTCTCACATAGTTGGTTTGGGCATCTTTTAGGAATAGGAGGGCAAGTATTGAGGCCTCAGGAGTCTGGGTTTTCATTGGAGGTAGAAAGAGAAGATAGTGGGTAGAACTAGAAAGTCGAGAGTGGGGTATAGTTACTTCCAGAATATGTCACTGTTAACCCAGCCTGGGCTTCATGATAGTCATAGAGAGGTGGATTCCTTAATAATAAAATAGTAATAAAAATACAGTTTATAAAATGCTCATATACACCATATTTTATATGTAGTTCCAGGCCCACTACAGTTCAGTTATGCTCAGTTTCACAACCCCTTTATCAAGTAGTTCTGCTCATAGATTCAATGGCAAGTATGGGTTGTGCACAAAGTAAAATTTCAATTTCTGGCGTCTTTATCAGCAGGCAATTAATTTTGAATCTTTGCAGTATGTGGACATTTGCTCATTTTTGTGTTTTCTGATGTCTGTGTTTGGTATAAGGCTATCTGAACTTAGAAATATCACAAGACTTAGGGATAAACTTGTCTAAACAGTATTGGCTACATTAAGCAAATAAACTGTGGTTCATAGACTAGTAATAATTGTGGATCTTTTTCTTTGAAGGATTGTAAAGCAGGTTGTGAACTGATTTCTCAATGTTGTTGCAGGTCTCGGAGGAACATGTGTGAATGTGGGATGCATACCGAAGAAGCTGATGCACCAAGCAGCTTTGTTAGGACAAGCCGTGCGAGACTCTCGGAACTATGGATGGAATGTTGAGGAGAAAGGTATGGGGGGGAAAGCTGTGTTCCCTTTGTGCTTTGGGGGGTTTGAGCTGTGATCTTGCAGTACATCATCCATTTTTATGAGACTAGCAATAACCTGGAAGTTGTTTTTATTATTTACATTTTTAATGGATAAAATCACTACAGTTATCCTGTGTCAGGTGGTGACATAGCTGTTATGGTAAGAACAGATATTGCACTTAGAGTTTCTTTCTTTACTAGAAAACCAGAATTCTTTCAAAGAAATCATAGAGAATTTCATAGAGGAGTACAAATTACATTTACTTTCCTTTGAAGCTGTTACATTTTTCTCAGTTCAAAGAAGTCTGTTTCATGAGCTGATATTTTTGGGGTGGAGGATGGTTAGTCTTTGTCAGATTGAAAGTATTTGGAGCCTGGTCAGTGTTGCTCAGTGGTTGAGCATTGACCCATGAACTAACACAGTGGTTCTCAACCTTCCTAATACCGCAACCCTTTAATACAGTTCCTCATGTTGTGGTGACCCCCAACCATAAAATTATTTTCGTTGCTACCTCATAACTGTAATTTTGCTACTGTTATGAATCATAATGTAAATATCTGATATGCAGGATGTATTTTCATTGTTACAAATTGAACATAATTAAAACATAGTGATTAATCACAAAAACAATATGTAATTATATATGTGTTTTCCAATGGTCTTAGGCGACCCCTGTGAAAGGGTCGTTCGACCCCCAAAGGGGTCGCGACCCACAGGTTGAGAACCGCTGAACTAACAGGTCGCTGGTTTAATTCCTGGTCAGGGCACATGCCCAGGTTGCAGGCTTGATCCCCAGTATGTGGCCGTGCAGAAGGCAGCCAGTTGATGATGTTTCTCTCTCATCGATGTTTCTATTTCTTTGTGCCTCTCACTTCGTCTCTAAAAGTCAATAAAGGCATATTTTTTAAAAAAGTATTTAGAGTACCCTAGAAAAGTTGAAGAGGAATTTGTTGACTTTATCTGGTAGGAGAATAACATGAGGTCTGGCACAGCTTCATGGCTAATTAATGACCTAGGTCACTAAGTCCTTGGAGAATGAAACTCTAGCCCCTATCTGATTTTAGCTTTGAGATCTATGGGTTATGGGACATTTGAGGGACATCTTTCACCCAGAAGCTGGGGTAAATTATTTTGTGGCTTTTTTTGGAGTTTTAATTAATAGTTTATTATTTCTTTAAAAAGGCCTACATACATGCTTTGAAAAACTTTGCTTCCACTCAAACTAGTTAGGCTTCCTTTATTGATGCTTTTCTTTCTCATTTAAAATTAACTTTTTTGATCCCCAGCATCTCCAAATAAATAAATAAATAAATAAATAAATAAATAAATAAAGTTAATAAAATTAAATTAACTTTTTTTCCAAGTCTGGAATCTTAGAAAATCAGTTATTTTAAAAGTTTTCCAAGGGTCATATCTCTTCCTCAGACCTTAGAAGGCTGCTTTCTGGGTTTTTGGGATCTTAAAAACATAAGAGGTAAGTATAGGCCTCTGCTGAATGTAAATTTTATTAATAGGGCCAACTGAATATTATTTTAATAGATTCAGTAATCAGGTGGGTGGTGAAATATAACTTGGTAAATTTGGTAAGTCTTTCCAGCAAAAGAATGTCTCTGTCACTGTTATGTAATAACTAGAGGCCCGGTGCACGAAATTCGTGCACAGGGGCGGGGGCGGGGGG